TCTTCTTCTTCTTCTTCTTCTTCTTCTTCTTCTTCTTCTTCTTCTTCATCCTCCATTAATTGTTGTTTGTTGATAAGTGGCAAGCGCCATTTCTAAAAAGCGAAAAATTTCTCTCACACCGTCTTTACCTTCTTTTTTATTTTACCATATTCCTCTCTCAGTTCATCAACAGATAAAGCCATTATAAACCTTTTCTTCTTCTTGTTTCTCTTCTTCTTCTTCTTAAAACAACCAAGATAATTCAAAGCTTGAAACAATTCCCCAAAATCCCAAAGTCATCAAACAATCCAAACAGAGCACAAAGTTCTTCACACTTTTTCTTCCTGGGGTAATATCAATTGGCAAGGGAAAAAAAAAAACCAATCTGTATTTTAAAGTCTTATTACAATTAACTTCCAATCTCAAAATCTTCCAGGCATCTCCTCCAACAAAATCTTAATAAAATTTTTCCTTTTGTCCTCTCCCTTCCCACTTATAACAGAAAGCTTTAAATTTTTACCTTCTGTAAAATAGCAGGATTTTCAATATCCATTTGTTAAATCCATGTGGAAGGAGAGTAAACTTTCTCTTTAAACACTTTCACTCGCCGCTTGTAAATCTCTTCTGGAAACAAAGTATCTTTCAAAAAATCAGGATTTTCAGGATATTACTTGTATCTTATAGTCCCAGTTCAGCCAAAAAACTTTCGCTTCAAAACTTTCTCCTTCTTCCTCCAGCACAATCTTGTCCAGCTGTCAGCTTCTTTGTGGCGGCCATTGCTGACCGCCGCTCCACCGCCTTGAGAAAAGAGGGTTAAAGCCGGGTGGGGAAGGGGTCTGCGAAAACCCCAACCCCCTGTCCGGATCCCTCCTATCTTCGGCTGCCTCTTCGTGGCAGCCTTAGCCTCCAGATCCGTGGATCGGAGGCACCAAAGCGGCTAGCGCGGCAGGGATTGCGCAGGATCGCAAATCCCTGCCGCTAGCGAAGCCGACAAACCGGAAGTCAAGGCTGGATCTAAATTCTTCTGTACTTAGAGGTGGACTTTTTGGTGATGTTCTTAAAATGACTCATAATGGAATGCCTGTTTTTGCTTTTGCTCATTTAAGAAGCAGACGATTGGACTAAGCCAATAAAAGTTTGCATCTGTAAGTCTTGACCTTGTAAGTCGGCAGATGGTGAGGAAAAAAAAACAGTTGTAGAGGTTAAGGCACCAGGCTACAAACTGGGAGACTGAGTTCTAGTTCTGCCTTCAATGAGATGGGTAATTTTATGCCAGTCCTTCTCTCTTGGCTCTAGGAAGCAGACAACAGCAAACCACTTCTGAAATCTTGCCAAGAAAACTGGTAGGAATAATAATTACACATAAAGAACCAATTGGAGTACTGGTTAAGTCGCCAGGCCATAAACCAGGGGGGCTGTGAGTTCTAGTCCCACCCTATCACAAAGCCAGCTGGGTTACCTTGGGCAGGGTTTCATGCTTATCTCATTCTTCTAATGACAAGAGAAGATGCAGCCGCCTTCTAAAACCAGCTGCAATTGCTGTGAATTGCTTGCAACAGACATCCTTATGCTGCAAAGGTGATATTTGTTTTCTTCTTTTTTCTCTTTTGGTAGGTTGCAAATGCACATGCTGAATGGGGCCCTTCTTGCTCTCCTATTTCCTGTGGTTAACACCCGCCTGGTGAGTTAATCTCAGCTTGCTACTGGAATGGAAAAGAGTCCACACCCCTTACAAAACCATGGGTGACAGGTTTAATTTGGATGGAGTGATTCCTTGCATGAGACCCAGCAGTGCGTCTCCATCAAACCTTGCTTGCTTTATTTTTTAATGAGTCCAGGTGAAAGTGCATATCCAGCAAAAAAAGTTGTACACATATGACAGTTACATGAATTGGCAGCCCACGTTATCACAGGATCTTTGACCGTACAGAGCACTAAACAGCTGTCAGTGCAAATAGTTCCTTTTTCCAGTAAGGACTTTTCTGTATGCATCCAATACTGGTGTATGTTTCCAGGGCTATCTGAGGTGCTTCAGAGGAGGTTATTTTTTTATTATTTACCATTTATTTTTGAATGCACAGCTTGTACTGTGGTGTACTGTTCTCTTTTTTTGGCTAATGTGGGAGGCTGTTTTTTTTAAATTGGCTTTATTTTTTTAATGCTTTATTTTTTGTGTGAAGTAATAGAACAGTTGCAAGAATGTTCTCACAAAATTCTTTAGAAGGTCTTTCTCTGAATGTCCTGATTGTAGGAGAAGGAGTGGCAGAACCTGGGATGGAATTCAAAGAGGAATCTGCCTGGAATCCTTAAGTAATCACAAGCAAATTAAGTCCATGCTCCCCTCTTTGATCTCCATTAACCCCTATTTAATTTCTAGCGAATGCTAGAAATTTTAGTTGAGAATATTCCTGTGCATAGGCTGTTTAGCAATAAATTAGTTTGATTGGATCTTCATGTGTGGACTTAATCTTTCACACCAACATTGAAAGAGACCAGGGCACCAACACCAGTAAGGCAAATTTGCAAATGGACATGATCTGGAAGCATGTAGATCAAGTTTGTATATTTGTGCATGTGGGCTGCTTATCATGTCCCTTCCAAATCATGTAGAATTTCGTGAAATTAAGGTAAGACTTATTTAAAAATGGGTGAGGATTCATGAATCATAGCTTCAGTTTCTTAATACACCTATCCACCCATACCCACACCCACACCCGTAAATATACATTGTGGGTTTATTTTCAGTTTTCCTCCTCTTTTGTCTATTTTTCCTTGTTTTTTGCATTTAGTTAATTTAAAAACAATCAACCCCTCCCAATGGTTGAAGATAATTTAGTTTGATGTGGGAAATATATTTTTTTAAACAGGATGATAATTAGGTTTCTGCTAGATCAGTGTTTTCTTTCCACTTTTACACATTCAGATTTTTAAAAAGAAGTCTCTGAAGCATATTTAGGAAAAAGTTGCTGTTTGGTCCATCAGTAGGAACTGAAGTACTTTTCAAACTAAGGTTAGCCTTCTGGGAGAAAATATCAGCCAGATCCCTTACAGTGAAACATCTAATTTCTCTTCTGATGCTTAAGGTTGCTAGAAGACTATCAGAATTCCTCATAACACTGAAATCAATGTTTGTGAATCTTGGGTGCTCTCTGAATTTAGTTGTTTTCTTGAAGACATTTCACTACCCAACTAGGTAACATCATCAGTGTCATTTGAAGATGTTACCAAGTTAGGTGATGAAATACTGTATATGTAAGAAAACAACCACACTCAAATAGTACCAACCACTCCATAGTTCAACCCTGAGCTACAGAGATTTTCTTCTATTGAAATCAATTTTGGTAGATTGGATGAGGGTTTGATGCATGGAGCATGGCCTAGGAAGAGAGTTAGAGACTTGGTGGGCTGGATTAGGTGTTTCTTTTATGCTGATATCCTGATTAATGATATTGATTGTAAAGAATGCATAATGGGGTTTTGTTGATTGCAGCTATTTAATCATTCCTCCTCACTTGGTAGAAGCACATGTAGATTTTAACAACACACCCTCTTAAAAATCAGCAACTTAAATCAGATTAGGAATTAAATTTCTTACCAGATTACTTTGGGTTCTGCAGAATCCACAAGGATTCTCTTTGCAGGACTGGAGAGGAACAAATTAAGTCATGAATGGTTGGACTGCAAAGTAGTTGACTGTATTTGATTCAGTCATGGTTTGTTAAAGAAGTCACAATTGGCCAAGTTCTTCCCTTGAGTTGATGTAGAAATCAAGGCTTTGAATCACAGTTATTTGATCTGGCACAGTGTGCTAAGTTGGACACACAAGGAATTTGTCTTGGTGCAAAATGCTCTCAGTGTACATAAAAGAAAAGATACATTCGTCAAGAGTCAAGAATCATAAGGGACAACACTTAATGATAGTCATAGGGTACAATAAGCAATCAAATCATACTAGGAAACATTCAATATAACGAAAGCTGTATTACTTATTTAGCATAAATGTTTAAAAAGCACACTGCAATTGCATTCTTGATGAGCAAATATGAAGCTATTTGTTCCCGAATTCAGACTAACAAATTAGCCTCCCCAAAGAATGTAGGAATCCTACACTTGGGTGCCCCTGGGCAATGACTTAGAGTCGGCTAACTCTTCTGCAAAGGCAGCCAGACAATCTTTCTTATCTCCTGGCTTAAAACACAACATTATGAGAAGACCTAATAGCCGTAACCCCTGGCTGCCTGGTTGTAACTTGTAATTAATTCTAACACTTTTTCCTTAAACTGCTGGTTCTGATTTTAGTCATAGTCAAACTTTATTATGGATCATTGAACCTGACTCTCCGTTCATTGTCCCATCCACTCACCCACACACCCAATGGAACAATACAGAGAAGATTAGCCTGGCTTCATTTTACAAAATGTGATGCATCCCTTCTGCATTAATTGTTTTGGGAGGTGATGAGCATTATTGTGTCAAAGTTGAGGTGCGCCATTAAAATACAGTGTATTCTGCTTCATTGCAGGGCAGGGCATCAAGTTTGTCTATTATCACAATAATTAAAGGGGTGTGACAATCAGGCCCCGGATGCAAGAATGCCTATTCAAAACAAAGTGTGCTATTGTTGTCATCAGTTGATCTTATCAGTTTTATCTCTGGTCCAACCAGAGCGATCCTATGGTTGTGTATCTCAGTCAGATTTTTTTTTTGCTTTCGTACTCAGGCATTCACCCAATAGTAACAGAATAACAGAGTTGGAAGGAACCTTGGAGGTCTTCTAGTCCCAACTCAAACATGAGACCCTGCGTCAGGAGTGTCAAATTCAATTTCATTGAGGGCTGCATCAGGGTTGTGTTTGACTTTGGGGGCTGGGTGGGTGTGGCCAGGGTGGGAGTGGCCAGCTTGATGTCACTTGTGTCGGGGGAGCCTGTGGTGGCTCGAGCGCTCTGCCAACAAAAACGGAGCTCGGGAGGCTGCAACGGTCTCCTGCAACCCTCTGCCAGTGAAAACAGACTCCTGAGCTCCATTTTTGCTGGCAGAGGGTTGCAGGAGGCTGTCGCAACCTCCCAAGCTCTGTTTTTGCTGGCAGAGGCACCGCGGGCCCATCCTTCGCTGTCTCCAGGGTGACCAGATCCAAGCACCCCGCGGGCCAGACCCATCCCTCAGGCCTTGAGTTTGGTCTGCCCTATACTATTCCAGACAAAATTGGCTGTCCAGTCTCTTCTTAAAAACCTCCAGTGATGGAGCATCTAACAGCTTCTGAAGGCAAGCTGTTCCACCAATTGATAATTCTGTCATTAAACTTTAATGATTATGTGGAATGCACAAAACCCAACAGTTGTGTGGCTAAGTGGTGTAGTCTCATGATGCCACACTTTGCAACTGCATTGCTTAACAAGGGAAATTCCAGTCCCAATTACCGTCATTAAGTGATGGCTACCTGTTTTGGATAACTGTCTCCCAGAATATGCCCCACCTGAAGGATTCCGGCTTCAAAGAAGTCTGCTTTCTCTGCTTTGGAATCTGCTTGGATGATATTTTGCCTTGGCACCAACCACAGGAAGAAACATGTCCCAGAGCCAAGAATGCCATCCAGAAAGTATCCATGATATCAATCACTCCGAGACATTTTCTCTCCAACTGACTTATTTAGAAACAGATCTGGCATGTCAAAGGCAATTTCCCAAAGTGAAATTATTTCCGCGCGTAACACAGAATCCACCTTCTCTCCTCCCTTCTCTCCTCCCACTTCTACACTTCATAAATCACAAGAACCAATTAACTGCAACTGGAATTTCTTAATACGACATACAGAATAACCTTGAACTTTTCAACTCCTCCACCCCCACTTCCATGAAATGTGACAGCTGAATTTTAAAGCTGACAGGCGTCCCGCCCTTGAAAACTCCTCCTCCTAAAAGAAAAGGAGAAAAAACAGATACAGGGGTTAGCACATTGTTCTTAACCCCTTCTCCCCCCTCCATGAGGACCTTTCAGTTTGTGGGGAAAATCCTCATGAAATTGGTTAACCAATTGGTTAATCAGCATGAACATCCCAACTCTTTACCCAACTAGCATCTGAGAGAGGGTATCCTTTCCATAAGACCAAATATTGCAATCGGCCACGGTGCAATCTAGAATTGAGAATTTTTTTGAATTTCATAATGTGTTTCCTCCTGTACCATTAACAGTTTAGGGGGAGTGATTGGCGGTGGTCTTATCATTGATGTAGTAGCTGGTTTTAGTAAACTACAATGGAATACTGGATGAATTTTCCCCAATATTTGAGGAAGACTTAAATGGACAGTGACCAAATTGATTATCTTTGAAATTGGGAACGGACCCAAGAATTTTGGACCCAGCTTCTTAGTGGGCAGTTTCAACTTCTGAAATTAAGGCTTGTACTATTTCTTCTCAGTGGCTGTCAAACTGAGGTTTTCTGGACAGAGCGTTTGCCAGTACGTTTTCCCCTCTGAGGATATATTTAATGTTAAAGTTGAATCGATTGAAATATTGGGCCCAGTGGACTTGTTTGGGCGATAATCTCCTAGGGGTCTTTAGTGCCTCGAGGTTCGTATCAGTCCATACCTCAAAGGGCTCTGGCGCCCCTTCTAGAAAATGCCTCCAAGTCAATAAAGCCCAAGAAGCGAATGCTTCTTTCTCCCAGACTGCCCACCTTCGCTC